AATGAAGATACAAATGGTCAACAAGCACATGTAAAGATGCTCAGGGCCATTAATAATTAGGGAAATGAAAATCGAAATCACCATGAGATATCATTTCACATTTATTAGATTGGCTGGAATAAAAAGACAGTAGGTGTTGGTGAGGATGTGGAGAAATTGGTAGCCCTGTACATTGTTGATGGTAATATAAAATGATGCAGCTATTGTAGAAAACAAGTTCCTCAAAAAGTTAAACATATGATCCAGGGACTCCACTACTAGATACACATGCCCAAGAGAAATAAAAACATATCCATACAAAAACTTGTATATAACTGTCTACAACAGCAATATTCCTAATAACCAAAAAATAGAAGGAATTCAAATATCTAAGATAGGCTGTGTCAGATACATGTAACAATTGATTCTTACTCTAATAATAATTATTAATCAGCCATAAATAGGAATGAAGTATTGATACATGCTATACCATGAATAAAATTAAAACATTCTTTCATTTAAAGAAGCCACACAGAATTAGATAAAATATCCAGGACAGGCAAATCCATCAAGACAGAAAGTGGTGCCACCAGCTGGGAGAAGTGAGGCATGAGGAGTCACTGCTTAATGGAATGGGGTTTTCATCAGGGGTGATAAAAGTGTTTGGGAACTTTACAGTTGGTAGTTGCACAGTATTGTAAACGTGCAAAATGCCAATGAAATCAACATTTTTTAAAATGGCTAATTTCATATAAATTTCATCTCAACCAACAAATGTGCTGCTACATACCCAGAGCTCTTCCCTGTGTGGCATGTAACCTATGTGCCTGACAGTGCAGCATGTGTACTACAGAAAGGATGCCCCCTTCCAGTTCTAGACCACTGACAGATGCAAGACCTAAATACAAAGAACTGATGTTGAGGAGGTAAAATTGCAGGTACCTGTTTTTATCTTTAATGCTTGTACAAATAGGTCTCTTTCTCATACACACATACACATACTCTTTCTTATTCTGATGGCTCCGATGAATATACCCCTATCACGCTTTATCCAAAAAGACAAGATAGAAAGTCTCTTCAATCTAGTCAGAATAAGTCTTGTGGGCTTTAGAAGTCACTTGTGGTAACAGACCCGACAACAACAAACCTTTCCTTCTTCTAAGCAGTGACATTTCGAGGTTTTTCTGGCATCTTTGACCTCTACCTTTTTTAATGGACACTTTTTCAGAGCTTCACATTCCTTAGCCTCAGCTCTGGGTGGCCACACACACTTCCTTCCACGTGCCTCCATTTCTAAGTTTCCTCACGTTCATGACAAAGCATTGCAGACCTTCAGCTTTCCCTCTAACCTTACCTAGAATTTAAGGGAAGGCAGTAGGCCAATGTCAACCATGACGCCCAGAGGCAAGAGAGGAGGGTCTAAAAAATTATCAGCTCAAAATGAACCATGATTCTACTTAAAGGAAAGAAGTAGCACAAAGAAGAAAACCCAGAGGAATTTCTATCAAACAGCCACTTTTCTTTCCTAACATGGTCTTTACAACCAAAAATTAGATCAGATATGTTAAAACCACTCAATGAAACCTAAAAATAACTTTTTCTTTATCGGAAAAGTCACAACAAATGATGGATTTCAGTCATAGAACAAGTATTTATTGAGGAACAAATATGTTCCTGGCACTATGAGAGCAGTCAAAGAGCACACAGTCTAGCACACTTTGGAAGCCTTGCTGAAGGCATATGGTATTCAAGAGCAGCCCATGCATTTGATAATTCACCTAAACATCTCATCAAATTAAAATATTCTTAGCATTTTTCTTGGTCTATTTTAATTAAGACACAATGAGGTAGAATATTCTCCTTCCTTATAACACTTCTCATATTCTGTTATGGCCTTGTTTGCTGCAGTGTCCCCTAGTGGGACAGGGCTTTGAGCAGAGGAGTACAGCTTGCTCCTCTCTGTCCACCATGACTAACAGGCACAGTTGACTCTATGAAAGCACATGCAGTCCCTTAAAGACAGAGACCCTCGTTCCTGCTGGCATCTCCAGCACCTCCTTCCCTCACCTTGTCTTTATCTTTCTTCAAAAACTTAACTTGACTAGTCCAGAGGCTCCCCTTTATAAATATAATTCCTTTCTAACAATTGCTATTTCCTTTTACAAGAAAAGTTTTAATGCCCAACAGGATGTCTGAATTTACCTTCAGCCACAATCAGAATTGTTATTTGTATTCTTAATTTCACTACAAATAATCAGTTGGTTTTGGTTTTATATTCACCTAGGCTGTTTATACCAAAATATGATTTCCTTGAAACATAATCTCTTCCTTTGAGCCCTAACTGCCCCTCCTAGATCCTAGGCTCTGAATCAGCATATTCCCTACCTTGAAGTTTAGGACTCACTAAATATCTAGCACAATATTTTCAAGTGAAAGCAGAAAAGAGATGCTTATTACATGAAGCAGGATATAAACTTAAAAAGAAAATACAAACAAGCCCAAGTGTTAACAAATTAGAACTTCTGGGGGGAAAAGCATGCCAAATGAATTGCTTTTCCAAAGAATTCCATTATTTACATCCTGAGGACAATAAAAGGATTAAAAAGAAAATATTTAACTCATTAGTTTTAAAATAAGGACTGGCTGTGTTACAAAAATAAAGGTTAAAAATACAGATATATCTTATGTACTCTCCCCATCAATAAGAGATTTTGGAGGATTTGGAGAAATTCAGAGTATTAATGCATCTTTCAAGTTGCATGTCAGGTTTCACCATCACTTCAAGGATGTATAGAATAAAACCAGTCTATTACAAACACATGAGAGAGAATCTCAGCTTTTGCAGGGCAGGCTGTTCATGATTTTAGTAAGCATGGACAAAGAACCACCAGCTCTTGTCGTCTTGTAGTTTAGCTAGTCATTTGCACATTTCACTCTGCTTTTACTATGGCTCTGCCCAAATGGCTGAGAGACAGTTTGGTAGGAGAACTCTTAATTCAGACTCTGTGCTTTGCAGTGCTGGGACCTTCCTGTTCTGCTAAAGGACCAGGATTCCAATGTCATTCCACAGCATGAACTAGCAGAGGGACATGGGCTAAAAGGCTACAGAACAGACCCAAATCTCTGATCCATTTCTGTGTCTCATATGACACCATCAAACCACTGGTTCTACAGAAACCAAAATGATTCCCCAAGAAGTCGACAGGAAAGTGCAACTATGTGTTGAGAGTAGGGGGTGGGGGCAGGGGGCAGAACAAAGAGTTAACTAGCTCTACCAACAGTCTCCTTCTCAAAGACTCTGTCCTCTATGGTAGCTTGCCATGTTCCACCCAATAACAGCTGCTCATGATAATCAATGTCTGACAGATCAGAGAAAGCCCTTAATGTGTCGCCAAGGGGCAGTTCAACAGATGGCATGGTGACTTACAACCAGAATCATTAATTACACTCTCTGATTAGTCCCAGGGCACAGTGCTGAAAATGCTTTCTCAGTGAAAGATGAGCATTTCAGATAAATGACCGTCTGGTACTGCCTGCAAAACTCCCTTTAGGATTTCTGGTCAGCGCCAATTTTTCTACATTTTTACAGTTGTTTCCCACCTTCCATGTTCAGGTTGGCTAGGGATATGGAGTCCCCACCATCACCGGCCATCTCAGCTCCCACAAGCACTGCAGGTTAGGATATGGTGAAAAGTGCCACCACTCATTCCCCTCTCAAGCCAGCTGACTGTGGGTTAAGAAATATAGTCAGCACTAGCTCCATGTCCCCTCCCTGAGTGCCAGGGAACATGAAGGGGTGGGCTGGCTTTCCCTCTCCCTCATCTCCTGAGTGGGCTCTTAGAATATAATGTGACTGGTTTTCCAACTCAGAACTGTCCTCCCTTCACAGAACCATTGACCACAGCTCTTTTCTATGTATCTTAAAAAGAGAAAAGTAGACACTCCTAACAGAAAGGAGGCCTAGCAGCTTAAGGCAACAAAATAATCCCCAAATGTCCACACTGCTGACTTTGTTATCCCATGGGACTAGGTACTGTGTACTTAATTAAGAAGCCAAATAAGTGCATAGTGAGGAAACGCTTCTCAACTTGCTCCCGAGGGCACCCAGACTTATGCCTTTGGCCCAGGGTAGAAATGAGTTCCTTTTTGACAGTTTGAGAATCTAGCTCCAGATACATTACAGAAGCCAGGTGTAATTACTGTGGCACACCTATAATCCCTGTGATACAGGAGGCTGAGGCAGGAGGATTGCAAGTTTGAGACCAGTCTTGGCAACTTAGACACCCTGTCTCAAAATAAAAGGGTCTGGGGATGTAGCTCAGTGGTAGAGCACCCCTGGTTCCAATCTTTAGTACCATAAAAACTAAAAAACAAACAAAACAAAAAATTACTGTGAAATTTTAGAACTGACATAGACAGCATGGAAGCAGATAATGTATTTGCCTTAGCAGAGATATAAGAAATAAACCCCAAAATTACCAAAATAAAAAAAAATTAAAGCATTTCCTAAATATCACCAAATAAATATTCTTTGATTTTGCTGACCATTTCTGTACTTTGATTTTTTTTTTTTAAATAAGGTTAAACTAAAGTAATATTAAGGTCCTAAATGCTGTCATGAAGAATTGACTGTTTTCTATAATCCAATTAGTTCTTTCCTGGACACATAAAAACATGATTTTGATTTTTAAGTAGGTTTAAATAATGGATGTTCCCATCATTTTTTTTTCCTGGTTATCTTGGATTAAACCCAGGGGTGCTATACCCCCAGCCCTTTTTAATTTTTATTTAGAGGCAGGGGCTTGCTAAGTTGCCCAGGCTAGCCTTGAACTTGTGATCCTCCCGCCTCAGTCTCCCAAGTAGCTAGGATTACAGGCATGTGCCACAGCACCTAGCCATCTTACAAATTTTTAAAAGATAAAAATGTTAACTAAGACATTTTAAAAAAAGAAAAAAGAAAAACACCCTCCCTACAGGAAGGGAGCCTCAGGCAGCCTGGGTCTGCTTTGCAATGTACTCACTTCTAGCTTTTTCTCCTTTTCTGACAGCACGTCTTTCTGGTTCTGGGTGTACTCCACGAGCATCCGAGCCAGCTGGCGCCTGTCTTCCAGTTCCGCCGCGAGGCGCCCGTTATATTCTGCTAGTAACAGACATGCTTCATCTACTGTTTTTGAAAGACGTTCAGCTGCCTCTTTGTCTGAGTAAAAATGAGACCAAAAAATAGAAACAATAGAAATCACACAGGTACAACTGCAAACATTTCTGAGGGGAGATTTGCAGTTTCTCTCCCATTATGGATTCCAAAAATAAGCCAGAACCTATGGACAAACAATGAGCTGGCTGGCAAGAAACCCAAAGGCTCTGTCTGACTCTGTCAACAAGACAGGACATTCCTGAATCACCTGAAGGGAGGCAACTGTGCAGGGGAGAAATCTGGCAACGATGTTTGAATGCCCATTCCTACAAAAGCTCTCTGAACAAAATAAGCAAAAATATAATTAAGGTCACCCATGAAATACTTTTTCCTCATCTGAGAAGTTCAAGGGCTTTTGCCTATGTTTTTCATTAAATATTCTTTTTATATCCCTCTGAAATAAAAAAAAAACACTCATTGTTTCAGTGTGGAAACAGACAAAATATGATCAATGAGAATTCAATATGTGGTCATCTGAGAGGTTCAATGTGGTCAGCTGAGTTGGGCCTTAAAGTCAGATCTCTAAACCTACCTCTTCAACTATGAAAACCTGAAGCCTGAACTCTTTTCCTGCATTCTGCAAAATAAAGGTTCTGATAAGGAGCAGAGGCTTTCAAATGTTTTTGAACATGACCCACCATAGAAATATATTTTATGTAAACACATAGAAAAATAAACATTTCTTAAGACAGTACTTACAATTACTTTGTGCCAAGTGTTCTTTCATTCTATTCCGCTTTTTAAAAAGGGTTGGTCATTACCTACTGGACAGACTTCATGTCCAATAAACGGCTCCCAACCCATGCTTTGTGGAGGGGGAAGAAACAAACCTGTCCTGAGCAATAAGAAAGGGTATCTTTGGTAAGAAGTGGAACAGAGACTCAATGCAAGGAAATGAGAAGAAACAAAAGGAAGATTTGTATTTATAAAGAACTGCTGTAATTAATTATGTGTGGTGAGATTAGGACTTGAAATGTGTTACTTCTTATTCTTAAAAGACCTTTAAAGATCAAAACAGTAGGTAAATGCTTTGAAATAAAAAGCTCTAGACTCCAACAGTTCCATGAGACAACTAAAAAGTGAGTTCCTGGTGATACATATCTGTCACAGGGTGTCCGAGGTGAGAGACCTTGGCATTCTTCGGGTAACTGAGATTTAAGAATTTGTACCATCATATCTGTTTGGCAAACAGCATACATGCCTCCTTAACATGAATACTGGGAGGTGAACTGGTGAGGCGTTCCCAACTGGGCCTGATGCCAAGATCAGACACTTCTACCTCCTCAGGGATAAGGAACAAAAGGATGTTCTGGGTGAAGGGAAAGAGTGAGCAAAACAGGGCCCAAAGAAAGGTCTCCATCATGGAGGGCAGAGAGGACTAGGACTCTTCTTCCACATCAGTGAGGATGGTCTGGGAACAAGCTGTTGAGGACAACAGGCAGGCTAGTTTTAACATTATCATTGCTTTTTTACCTGTCTTTTTTTTTTTTTTTTTTTTTTTTTTAGTGGTTAATTCATTAAGATGTTTTAGTGTCTGGGGAAAACAACAAGGGAATCACTTTTAAGATTTAAGATTTTTTAAAAAAATCAATTCTCACCCTCAAGAACCGCACAAAGGAAAAAATCATTTGCCCAAACAACTGCAACTCAGAAAAATAACTTTTTATTGTTTAAGGAGTCATAAAAAATTGTAGTCCAAATGTAGAAGCAAGATCTAGCTTCGGGGACTTACCTGTGACTGTGCTCTGGCACCTTGCCCTCCCTAGCGAGCCAGATGAGCACTTGTGAGGCTCTGTGGCCACCCTCCACTTGTGCATGGACACCACATACCTCCCAAGCTGATGCAAAGACTGTGTGACACTCCTGTATTTCCCTGCCTAATGGATTCCTCTCCCCTTTCTGAAGCATTACTATCAGCATATCAATGGACAGTGTGTGTTCTAGCCACTCTCCAGCCACTGCCCACTTCCCCAGTCCTCTTTCACAGAAAATTCAAAGGTTGTCTCTACCCCTGTAACTACCCACTCTCCTCCTACACCACTAAATCCACTCCAATCAGGACCCCCCCACCCCATATTGTGGATGGAACCCAGGGGTGCCTTATCATTTAACTACATCCTCTTCTTTTTTGCTTTGTATTTTGGGACAGGGTCTTGCTAAGTAGCAGAGGCCAGCCTTAAACTTGCAACCCTTCTGCCTCAGTCTTCCAAACTGCTAGGATTATAGGTGTGCACTACTGCAACCAGGCTTTAAAACCCGTCAAATCCTGTGTGTTCAATCTCTCAACCAGCCGAACAAATACCTGAGCTCTTACCGAGTGCAGTGGTTCTCAGAGACAGCAGGTGACAAAGAGGACAAAAACTCTGCCCTCCAGGTAGGAAGAGAAACAACACATAATACTGTATGCAGAAGGGAAAGAATGGGTCACTGGGGTGGGGCAGGGGACACAATTTTCAATAAGGTGGTCAGGGTAAGCATCACTAAAGGCCTGAAGGAAAGGGACACCAAGGAACAGCTAATAAAAGGCTCTGAGAGGGGAGGGTACCTGGGAAGGAGCCCAGAGGACTGCAAGGGGAAAGTGCTCAAAGTCCACAAGACAATAGGTCCAGACTGTGGGGCAATAAAAGCCTCCGGCTCCTACTGTAAGTGATGAGCAGAGTCCTTGGGATTTTCTGAGCATAGGGTGACACGATTCGACTTTTGTTTAAGAGGACCATTCTGTTTACTATGTTGAGAATGGGATGAAGGTCAAGGATGGAAGAAGTGAGAAGACTGGGAAGGAGGCTACTGCAATAATTCCAGTGAGGATGGTGGTGACTTGTGCCAGGTAGCAGCAGAGTCGCTGACAAGATATCAGGTACTGGTTTTGGTCCCAGTCAATGGGAATAAGGAGTGGGCCCCACTGAGATGTGAAGACCATGAGAGAAATAAGATTCAGAGACCAGTTTGGGGCAGGTTAAGTTTAAAATGCCTATAAAGACATCTACTAAAACTGAGCAGGAGGTTGTATGTACAGGTCTCAAGTTCAAAGGGAAGGTCAACACTGGAGATGTAAATTAGGGGACATCAGTACGAAAGTATCTAAATTCTTGAGACTAAGTGAACAACTGCCATTGAAATTAACTGCAGAGGGGTAAGTACTTAACACTAGATGAACAAGGAGAAGGGAAGAAACAAGCAAGGAGGGAAAAGACTCAGTCAGAGGGAAGGGAGGAAAGCTAGAAGAATGTGGGGTCTAAAATGACTACTGCTGCTAAAACCAATTATTATCAGGACCTCTTCCTCCATCTCTAAAACCGCATTCCTGCAATCTCTATCTCCTCATCTGACTTCTACTTTCCCACCCTGTGATTGCATGGGGGCCCACCTGGATAACCCAGGACACTGTTCCCATCTGCAATGTCTTTTTTGCTACATGTGATAACATTCACAGGTTTTAGGGATTAGGACTCAGACATTTTGGAAGGACTATTAGTCTATCTATGAAACCAAGTAAAGAAAAGTATTTTCAGTAAGAGGAAACAATGTACTGGGCTGAATGCTACTAAGGAAAGTTAAGGTAAGGGCAGGGAATATACTACAGAACACGGCAGAAGGCAGGCATCACAACTCTGACAAGGGCAGGTTCAACGGAGTGGAATCAGAGGAAAATGGGAGGGTAGGACGTGGGGACAGCAGAAGCAATCCAGTCAGGGGGTTATGCTGAAAAGAGCAAAGAAATGAAGAAGTAACTAGAGAAAGATATGGGATCAAGGAAAACAACTTTCCCATGTCAGGGCTGGGATTGTGGCTCAGTGGTAGAGTGCTCGCCGAGCACATGGGAGGCCCTGGGTTCGATCCTCAGCACCACATAAAAATAAATAAATAAAATAAACAAAAAACTTTCCCATGTGGAAAAATACAAAACACTATGGGGCTGAGGCTCTAGCTTGTTGGTAGAATGCATACTTAGCATACTGAAAGCCTGGGGTTCAGTTCAATCCCTAGTGCGCCCACACACAAACGGCTGTATGTTATTCAGAATGATCCAGTTAGGGGGTGGGGGCATGAAGAAGAAAAAGGGAACATGGGTGGCGCAATGTCCCTGAGTGAGTAAGGAGGAGCAGATCTAACACACAAGGGGATCGGCAGGTTTGGAAAACAGATGTTAATCCAGAGAAATAAGAGGAAGTCGGCCTAGATGTGTAATTTACTTTTCCCAGCTATGTTCAGCTGCACAGGTGTAGGAATGGAGCAGATAAAGAGCTGGATTTAAGGATGTGACTGCCAGTGGGTAAGGGAAGGGAAAATGAGGAGCTATTGTTTAATGAGTATAGAATTTCAGTTTCTTAAGATGAAAATATTTCTGGAAACCGGCTGCACAGAAATGTAAAAGTACATAACACTACTAAACTGTATACTTTTACATGAATTTTTATCATAATTAAAAATCCTAACAGGCTAAGGGTGCTGTCACCCTGGGGACTCGGGAGCCTGCAAGTTTGAGGCCAATCTTAGCAAAATAATGAGATCTGTCAATATATAAGGGTGCTGGGCAAGGTGGCATCAAAAGCTCAGGAGGCCGAAGCAGAAGGATCACAAGTTCAAAGCCAGCCTTAGCAATTTAGTGAGGCCCTAGGCAACTTAGTGAGACCTTGTCTCAAAATAAAATATAAAACAGGGACAGAGATTTGACTAAGTGGTTGAGTACCCCAGGTTCAATCCCTGACATCAAAATAAATAAATAAAAATTTTAAAAAGTTAAAATAAAAATTAAATGAAAAAGGCCAGGAATTAAACTCAGTGGTAGAGTGTCTTTGGGTTCAATCCCTGGTAGAGGAAATAAATAAATAAATATTTAAAAAACCAAATTAGGCTAACAGTGCAACTCCTTGATAGAGGACTTGCCTCACATGCAGGGTGTGACCCCAGCACTGAGACAAAAAGAATGAGGTGGGCCACGGAATAATAATTCTTTAAAAGTTGGAGTTAACCATTTTAGGGGATTTTACAGTGAAGGAGGAAAGAACAACAGATGCTGAAGGTGTGTGTGAGAGAGGACAAAGACTAAGCTGAGTACAGACAATGAGGACTCAAAGGCTAGAAGGAGGTGCAGTATCAACAGACCAAGTGTCCTCCCAGCAAGGCTGAGTTGGTGGAGCTTGGGAAGCAGACCGAGGGAGTGCAAATGCTTCTCAAGTGACTCCAAAGGCCTCTGCGCTGTGCTATGTGCTCTAAGCACATCTGGCCTCGAGGGTTTTCCACACTCTGTTCCATTTGCGTGGTGGAACTTTCTTCCCTCAGACAGCACCTCTGTTTGGTACCTTATTTAGAGTGCCCACAGGTGTGGCATGCCAGCACTTCTGCAATAATTCTTGGAATCAGTACTGACTATTTCAAGAGCTTCTTTGTTGAGCATGTGAGCTGTTCACAAATCCCAAGGTAGCAGAGCACCCAGTATCACATGGAAAGTGACATACACATGTCTTAGGGTTTGATGCTCTGTAGAGGGACTACACATAGGTTCCTCTTCTCTCCTCTTTCATCCACACTCCACTTTCTCACCTGTTATTTTTTCCAACAGAGAAACATCCTGCACTTCCTGAGGCAAAGAAGCAATTTTCTGTCGAACAGTAGCATCCCCTGATGCAGCATTTTCCAGATCCTGCAAAGCTTTGATCAGTTCCTCAGTCTATAAAATAAAAATAGAAACAACACTGTAGTGTACAGACATATGAATTTTAAAGAAAATTAGCTGGAGTTAAATTAAGTGAAGGAAAATTTTAAAAATGGTCATTTCTGGTCTTTGAAAACATAATTCTTAGTTCCAGAGCTTAACAGAAGTCAATGACAGTCTAAAAGAATGTACAAAATCAATTTTTCTAGTTCTCTAGTAGGACACAAATGAAATGTTGCAAAACTCTTTAAGGTATATATATCTCAACTGTTCAACAATTGTGCGTTGACTAATTAAATTGAGTTTGCTTTACAAAATGATCACCACTCCCCAAATTAAAAGAGTCAAACTCACTAACTATAAACAACGGTGAGAGGCAAAAAGAAAAGCAAACCAATAAGTATTCTGTGTGTATTAAAAGGAGTTTATTAAATTGTCAGAAAAGAGAATACTGACAGGTAAGCTAGTCCATAATGACCTAAGAGTAGCTTACTCTGCACAGAGTGCTAAATGACCACAAAGCTGATAATTCAGGTTGCTCTCTTTAAAGTTTTTGGATGCAAAGGTATGTCACCTAACGCCATTTCATTTAATCATTTTAACAAGACACAAGCCCATTTACATAAGCTTTGAATTCACCTACGTGTAATAAAAGCTGATTTAGACAAAATAAGAGGGGCATGGGCAAGACAGACCTGGATTCAAATTAAGACACTGGGCAAGTTACTAAAACTCGGTCATTTTGAGTCTCATTCTCAAGAGCTATAAAATAGATGAAATAAAACAACCAAAGAATTCATAAACTGACATGTTTTATGAAAGCCCAAATAATGCAAACACATGGTTAAAGGCAAACTCCCTGTTTTAACATTTAAATTGGCTATAGTATAAAAGTTTACTCTCAGCACACAGACTGTTCTAGCTATGAACAAGCTGTTTACTTGCAAAACACCACAACAGAAGACTGGAGACGTGCCACAGCAGACTTTGGAATGTCTTTTAAACATATTATCTACCCCTTTTGCAACAATCTACTTTTTAATAATATTTTTAAATTCTAGGAGTAAAATACCACATCCAAATACTTTAAAAAAACATAAACTCGGGTCAAGAGTCGCAGCAGGCTTCTCTGGATGAGATCTTGTATTAGATGCCCCAGAACTGCCCTCTGGTGATTCCATATGATTGGCCACCAGTGCCACCTTGTGGCCATAATCTTCAACTAGAGGTCACTTTAAGCCACTGAACCCTATTTTGGGGGAGTCAAACATACCAAGAGGGGTCCTGCAGAAGGATCTTGGGGAGAGTAGCTTCCAGGGTAATCATCATCCTCCTCCTCTTGTATCTGCTGAAAAGTCCGCTTTAGAGACTTCTTTTCTTCTGCTGCTGGAGGAAATCAAAAGGTGACAAATTTGAGTTGCATATCCTGTCCTGGGCAAGGGTCAAATGCTACACACAATGGGCCATATGTAAAAATAGGGCAGAAGGGGCCTCTTTATGTCAGTTATTCTTAATTGACTGTGCCTCCTTATACAACTTAGAAGAGTCAAAAAGATCTGTCATCTCATTTTGACTGTCTGAAAAAAACACTATCAAAAACAAGCATCTAAAAATAAATCAAAATTATAGTATTAATTAAAACTTCATATCTTAAGAATAAAGTTAAAATGGTAAGAAACCCATCAGGCAAAATAATAAAGTACACCAATGTGTGAAAGGGATTACAGATAACTTACTGCATATAAAATGAGGTATTTCATCCTTTTCAGGATCATTTCAGAAAATAGGAGAAATTCAACAAAAAAACTGTGTCAAAAATTCTAAACACAAATACTCTTAAGCCATCCCTTTAAAATGAACAAACCTAATTTTACCTTAAAATTAAAAAAAAAAAAACATCATCATCATTCTGAGAAATATGATTGATACTACTGGGAGAAATTACTAAAGTTACCATTTTTAGATTAACCACTTTTGAGGCTGACAGGTAATATTTTTTATTATCTGTACTGTTTGCTTTTACATTATTATGATAGATGCATTAATTCTAAAATTGTTCCCATTGCATCAAATTGGACAATATAAAATAAATGACAAACAAATGCGGGAAATAAAACTAAATGACAAATTCTGGTTTAGAAAGTAAAGATATATTGGACACCTAATATGTCTAAGACATTACAATAACTTCTTTACATTTACTCATTCCAGTAACTCTGAGATGCCATGTTTCCACTTTAAAGGTGAGAAAACAAAGGCTCAAGGAGATTCAATAACTCATCTAAAGGCATGACTCCGAAACCTAAGCTTTTTCTACTGCACTTAGAATTACTAAGCACAAAACAAGTACCCTCTCATCTGTCAAAAAAGGGAGACATGGGGCACCTGCCTCAGAACTCTGAGTTACACACAGAATGAACACACACTTTTTGATTAAACCAGTTCTGGGACCAAGCAAGTAGCTCCTGTTTTCTACCTTTCACATTATCTCACCAAACTATGTTTGAAATGAAAGTCAAGTCAATATCACAAATTGTATTTTTAAATATTCTGTTTATTCTACCAGAGGAAGAAGTAGTAGAAGTAAAAGAAGAAACAGCAACGTTTGTGATATAGGCACTCCCCCAACAAGAGTTCACAGTTCAGTTACCATCATAATAGCTAACTCTGAGTACTTGGATAAAGCAAAAATTTCTCTAAATACTTCAGTCCCCAAGCATGATCAGTGGCTAATCACATCACTTCTTCAAAGTCTGCCAGTGACAGGTCACTGCACATCTGTACTCAGCTCACACACACAAGCAGCGTACTGGTAGTGCTGCCTCCTTGTTTTGGGATAAAACCCATATGACAGTTCATAAAAATGAGTCATCCAAACAGGGAATTGGCTACCGAGATGAAAGTGCAGCAAAGAAACTAAACCAAAGCTAAAGACAAATGGCACGTAAACAGAGCTCAGAAGAAAAGGCTAGCCATGGGACACCACCAAGACACAAGACCGCAGCCAGAGAAACTGATAAGGTCACTCAATCAACGCAAATGAAGAACACGGCAGCAGAAGGCTGGCAATGTCCTTGAAGTGATGCTGACAAATACGTCACACAAGAGGAACTCTCAAAGAGATTTCAGCACACTGAATGCACAAAAAACAAAATGCTAACTATTCACCAAGGCCTAGGAAAGATGCCCGCTCTGTTCAAACTGGACTAGAAGGCAGGCACTGATCAAACTACCCTTGCTAACTTTATTACAGAGAAAACACATTTTTTTCTCTCAATGTTTCTGATTTTTAAAATTTTTTATTAGTTGCTCAAAACATTGCAATGATCTTGACATATCATACATTTGATTCAAATGGGTCAATGTTTCTAATTTTTGAGTTAATACTAAGTAACTACTATTATACCTTTTGTTTTATCTATAGTAAGTTTTCAACTCTTTGACCCCCTCCTCCTCAAAAAAAAAAAAAAAAAAAGCATTATCTCACTGACTAGTAAGTTCACCCTGTACACTTCAGCTTGCATGGTCATTTCAGTCTTGCACTATCATGCAAAGCAAGGACTGCTGTATTTTTTAAATGGAAATCTATCAGGATATCATTTAATATGAAACATCTGACAGAACTTCTCACACACTGCTTAATTAATGTATGGTACAGACATACAGATATTTAGCCTCTATAGCCTCAAAGTGGCCATATGTAAGGGGTAGTATATATGGTTTTGTTTGCTTCTAAGAGTCCTCAATAAATAATTGTTAAAACACTAAAGATATAAAAAATTGTAACTTGAAATAATCTCCGAACTCTTATACACATTCTATCATACATTCATTACCCTCAGGACACTCTGAATCACTCAATTTTGGCAATGAAAGGCATTAAATTGGCCTTTGCTTTCCCACACTTAATTTTCTTGAGAATATCCAGTCCCACAGGTTGTGGTTTGCACTAAGTCAAGGAGCTTGTTAGCCTAAGTCTGGGTCCACAAGCCAAAGCCTTCTGCCTCCACACTCTAGCAGTTCAAGACTTTTTTCAGTTTCCACTGATAAAAATAATTTCAAGGTCATTTCTGTCCTTTGCCATCAAGAGGGAAGAGGGTATAGAGGAGATGCTAACTATCACCAGCCTACTTTTCCAGTGTACTTTTATTTTCAGCTGGAGAATCAACTGGTACTGCAAACCTAAGATTTCTAGAAATGAATTATCCATCCTTTCCCCCTCTGACTCCTATCCCCTAAGGTACCTATTTCCATCATGAAGACTTCCACTGGGCCCATCTTCCAAGTATAAAACCTTGAAGACCATCAGAACCTATCCCAAAGTCCTGACTTCTGTAAGATTTCACACCCCTGCAGGGTTGTCTGGCAAAACTCTCACCCCTTCCCAGGCCCAGCCTCTCATTAGCAATCCTCCCTTCATCACACCTTGTTGAGACCACTGTTCCACCTGGTCTCCCTGCCATCAGTTGCTCTGTTTCCAATTTAGACTATATCGTTAAATTGCTCTTCCCCTCACCCTATCTTGTCTCTATGCAAAGATCTTGAATGGCTGCTAGTGATTCACACTGTCCTTCTAAGCTCAAACCCATTGTGGCTAATGGCAGCAGCATCGTGAGCACTCCCTCCAACTCCCACTGCACTTGGGCCTCCCTTTAAAAGCACTTGGCATTGCTGTTTTATGACTGCTGGCAAGCCTTCTCTGAGAAGAACATTAAGTGTCTTATTCCTCCACCTCCTATAAAAGGGGTGACAGACCAAAGTGTACACCCTCATGAAGGGAGGAGTCTCAGAGCTTGGAAAGTGCTGGTGCTATGCCAGAAATGATTATTAAAGTTAAAAAGTTAGCAGTTATGATGCCCAGAATTCTCAATTGAGCCAGACAGCCATTAATAATAACCCAGCAAATATGCCCGTTGCACTTCTATATCAGAAGTTAAGATAAGCCTTCAACAATCAATCTAGCTTCTGATCATGGTATTTATTTACATTCCCTTTTTTACTCAACCGCTCCACACAGGCAGGATGGCACTACGGGAGGCTAATGTCCTTCTGTCCTCATTCTGTGCACCTTCTCTTATATCCTTGGACCCATCTTTATGTCTCCAGGAAGCCTTGTATTTGACTAACCCTCAAATAATCCTGGTTACCTAAGGGGAAAGTGTGCCTCTGAGAGGCCTTACTGGTAGAATTTCAGATAACTACTGCAGACTGTGAAACTAACCTTAAGGCAAAAAAGCTGGCCTAAAGGCTCCCAAACCACCTTATAAACACAGCTCCCTACCTGCAAAGCTGGATTTTCTGAAGGATACACTTGAAATTTTCTGCAATTAAAACATACACACACAGGGCTGGGGATGTGGCTCAAGCGGTAGCGCGCTTGCCTGGCATGCGTGCAGCCGGGGTTCGATCCTCAGCACCACATACAAACAAAGATGTTGTGTCTGCTGAAAACTACAATGAATAAATAAATATTAAAAATAAATTCTCTCTCTCTCTCTCAAACACACACACACACACACACACACCTTCAGTTTTACATTACTTTTATTTGTTTTTGTTTCAGACCAAATTTCACTATGTTGCCCAGGATGGTCTCCAACTCTTGTTGACTTCAGCATCCCTCTCTCCTCAACCTCCCATGCAGCGGGAACTACCCATACTCAACACGGCACCAAGATTTACATTACTTTTAAAAAAGAAACAGGAAATACTGTTGGCAACAGCTGCTTCATTCTGTCTCCTCCTTGAAAACTTTTTTAAAGGAAATTTTTTAAAAAGCACATTAGACATTACTCGTGGGAAAGAAACTAAAACAAATAAAGGGTTAACCCTGGAGGTATGGTTTTAAAAAGCACTTGCCCCTCATCTCACTGAACAGAGCCGCCAAGACTGGTCTGGAACCCAGGCAAGCCCAAAGCTCTGCTCTTATTGAGTATGCCCTTGAGCCTTGCACAAAATCCAAGGGACTGAAAATATCGTACTTGAGGTACTGGCTCATATACGATGCTCAGAATATTAACTATTAGAATGAGAGGGACAAATAAAAGTCATTTCCATTGCTCCACTGATAGTATCTTACCTGTATTAACTCATCCTCACCACAACCCTATAAAGTGTAACTAATAACAACAACCATCCTCGATAGTTGGGAACTGAGGCTCAGAGGTCAAATGCTAAGCTCAAGGTCACAAGGCTTTAGCAGTGAGAACTGAGATTCATAACTCTGTAAGTCTGAATACCTAAACTGCACTAATGTCCAGGCAAGTTGGGTAACCTCCTCATGAACTCATGTCACAACTCAAGTGTACTAGATCCTTGGGCTTTCAGGGGAAAAAAAAAAAAAAAAAACCATTATAAAGAAGGTCAGCCTTAAGATCATATAGATCTGGGTTTAAAGCTGCCACTTCTCACCTATATCCCCCTTCAACAAAATTGCCATGTATTTTTGAGCTTTAGTATCCTCACCTGAAATATGAAAATAATACCAAATTCATGAAGTAGTTTTAAAGATGAAAATAACAAGGCAGGCAGAAGATAAACTAGTACATTTCAGCTACCTGATAAATGCTCATTCTTTTTGTCTGCCTTCCCTTTTTAAATTCTTCCACATTTGCACGAGACTATGTGATTCAAGTACATAATAAAGTTCTATCTAGTCAAACAACAACTTGAGTATTCCCAAGAACAGAGGAAACTTTAGAACACCTGGGCTTTGCACCTGTTGAGACAGTTATATAAATTCAATCTACAGTTTTAAAACAGAATTCCTAAGCTCATGCATGCTCCTTTGCAGTAAGAACTCAAAGTTCCACAGGAAATTTATTATTTCAAAAACTCTATAACATTGTCTCAAGACAAAGAAGTACCCATGAATAAAAGCCAGAATATAAAAGGACTATTCAAATTTGGAAATGAAAACTTCTGGAGAACTTATCAATATTTTGAAAGAGTTGTTGTAAAACCTTCTGATAACTCAGGTCCAGAGGACACACAGCGAGTTGGCTGAGACCAACACACACTGAAACCTCTGCAACTTGCTTTTTTTTCTTTAAAGAACAGGAAAAGAGAAATTATCTTTAGATTAGCATTATCTTTCACATGGTTACTGCCTTTGTTATTTATTGTTAATGTGTGTCTAGACTAAAAAAAAACAACAAAAAAAATCAGAAACCCAACAGAGCGATTTTCCATACCACCACTGCCACACATCCCCCATTTGTCTGGCTGCTCCCTGTTTTCCACTCCTCTCCTGTTCCTTCCTATGGCACTTAGCTTAGCCATTCACCCAAAGCACATATCCACCAAATGCTTGAACTGAAATTTGACATGGCTTCAAGCATTCTTTTTCCAGAGCCCTCCTGCTTACCTAAAAGTGCTTTAAAAAACCAGCACTGTTTACCAAATGAATTGAAAGGCAGATTATAGAAAATAATGCTGGATAATTCCCCAAAGCTGTACAAAATAAATACCTCCAAAGGACACAATACCAACACTACCAGAATCCAAAGCAGCAAACATCTCACTTTTCAGCAACTCCCACCAGAATGACCCTAGAATTATTTCCTAACAACTCCAAGTAAAACAACAATAACTTGTAGCCTGAAAACATGTATGTCATCTTAGAAAGCCTCTAACCTTTAGTTTCACAGGAAAGTTAGAAATTACTGTAAAATGCATATCATTTTAGACCTAGAAGAGATCATAAAGGGTACATAGTTAGGGTTGTTGAATGAATGATACTGTCACGCATGCTAATTCCAGCAAGTTCTATAGTAGAGCATGTATATGGTAGCAGAGAATAAGGAAGGAATGGTTACACGTGCCCAGACAAGCAAGGAAGCCATCAGAGTGAGAGAAGCACTTGGAGAACACATTCACACAGTGAAAGGGGCAAAAGGACATCTCAGGCGGAGGTAAACGGCAGATGCAGAAGAAGAGGTGAGTGCCAGCAGAGCATCCAGAGGGGAAACTTGTAATTCACAATAGGCAAAGAATAGGGCATATATGAGAGAATGGCAAGGGAATGATCTAAAAAAGTGAGCTACTTCAGATTAGAAAGGTCCTCAATACTATTAGACCTTGGACTTGATCCTCCAGGCAGTGAGTACATATGCAAAATCAGATCAGATCTGAAGCTGAGAAACATGTTATGCCAACTACAATTAAACTGTAACTTAACCAGAAGACAAATTATCCAATAACATTTGATCTTACTGTTTATAGAGAAAAAAAATATATATAACGTGCCCTTTTGAAGAACTTGGTAAAATTCTCTTATTCTCTTCTCTCTCTCTCTCTCTCTCTCTCTCTCTCTCACACACACACACACACACACACACACACACACACACACACACACACACACACACTTACTTCCTAAGGATATCCTGGGCTCAATAAAAACAAAAAATCATTTTAGACAACAAGCAAACAATCTTAAAGTACATTCCAAACCCACATTTATATTTAATAGGAACCAAGTTCTCAGAGGGCTTAGGGACTTATTCAAGATCCTGTAATAGTTAACAGCGAGGCTAGAACAAAATCTTAGTATAAGGTACTTCCTAGTTAACCACAACTCTGTTGCTCCTTACGCTTGTGCAAGGAAAGTCTCTGAAAGACAGGAGAGAGCCAAGGAGAACACATAGCAGAAGTTAGGAAGGGAGAGAATCAACAGCATGAATACTAGAACCAGGCTTGCACACTGCGAGCACTACGTAAATTCTCACCATCATTCATGATCATCTCTCTCTGAAGAATCATAAAATTGCTCGTGGTTCACAGCAACCCCCATTGCAGCTTTTCATATTTGATTCGAAAGTAGGCAAAGACCAAGAGCTGTAAACATGTGGTGATGTTTCTACCTTTGGGGGGAGGGCTCTTGGAGTCCTCCATAGACAGCTTCAGCTGCTGTATGAACTCGCCGCCATACACACTTCGTTCTTGCCAGATGTTCAGCAATCTTTCTAAAGGTTTTTTACAGCCTTCATCTGCCTCTCTGCCCAGAAAAGATGAAAAGATATATATAAGCTTAAAATTTTTTGCTTTTAATTAGGACAGATCTACTTAAAAAAAATCAATAACTGACTAAATGATTTACATAATTAAAAACAGAAGGAAAAGTAAAGTACATGTTGTATTACTCGGATACCCAAAACTTGACCAGAAACTACATTCTTCCTGTGGTGGGTGGGAAAGAGAGAGCAATCATATCACAGAAGAAATCTTTTTTCTCCTTTGAAAGATGGGGCAAATGGCGAGGGGGAGGGGATCCAATGGCCAATTTTTACAGACAAAATATTATCAAAAATTGATCATATCAATTCTGACAGTTTGCTTTTTAAAAGAAAACGTTAACTGGAATGTAGTGGGAGACATTCTGCTAGAAATTAAAATTGGCCAAAACTTTTAAGAATTAAAAAAAAGAAAGATTAACAAAAACAAATGTTTACAATGAAAAATTCACCACACCAACACACCAAACCTCTGCATATATAAATTCAATTTGTACATACATATGCCAAGACTGACCTCAACTTTTAACTACTTCCTAATTATTTAACACTGGGCTAAGTCTGTGTTTCAAGCTTACACACAGGTGTCTCACTGATAATCTTAGAACACAATGAGAATAGGGAGGTCCTTAGTAAGTTATATCTGAAAGAAATTAGGAAATACGTTTCACTCTTGATGTAGAACACAGCTGGCACTCTAAATCTGGCACCCACCATAAAAATGTCAACAAGCAGAAGAGTAAGAAAAGACTTCTTGAAAGGGAGCAGAATTCCCTCATGTGCACTGGTTCCTGTCAATGGTTCTGTCTAGCGAGACTGTGTGGATGTCAATGATCTTGGACTGAGTAACTTTAACCAAGAAGGGACACCACAACATCTTAGGACCTAAGTCATACCCTTAATGGGAACATCAAGAAGAAACCATACCAAGTTCAATGCTGGCAGCACTTGTGTAAAGCTCATGCTAACATTCAAAATGAGGTGAGGTTTCAGCCTGGCCTGATCAGATTGTGTTACTTATGAATTATTAGGGGCAGATTTCATTGAACTAGGATTAAAAGTATAAACTAAAATATATACAAATTAATCCTTTTTTATGAATGTTTTCTTTCAAGATAGGGACCAGGGTTAAGAAAAAACTGCTACATTTATAGAGCTCAAAGATATGACCTACTTATCTGATATATGTGATTAAACACTTTCTTATGTCACCTTTGAAATGTATCTAGAAATGAGTTCTCACCCTTCCTCTGCTATGGACCTATCCAGCCACAGTCACCACCTGACTGGATTACTACCACGGCCTCATTCCTGGTTTTGCTGCTTCCTCCCTGTCCTCCTCCAATCTTCTCGAAAGTTATAATAATGTAACTCTAGCTGCTTATTAAGGCAGACGGTGTTTCTTTCCATTCTCCCTCATTATTAAGTGAAAGTCCTTAAAAAGCCTTCAAGGCCTTTTCAGCCCAGCCCACTGGTTCTGGGGCTTCATCTCCTACCCACACCATCCTTCCAGAGAGTCCCTCCCTAACCTCCACAATGACACCCCTGCCCCTCTTAATTTTTCTCAGTACAACTTTTCTTCTCATATGCTATAATTTGTTTACTCTTTCCGTTTGAAATTTCCACAAAGGCAGGTGTTGATCTCCCCCATCACCACTAGATGCCCTAAAATAAGCACAATAATTATTTGTTGAATTGTAATTTTTTTTTGAAAGAAACTTATGTAACCATACTTCACTTCAACAATCATCTTTCTACAACATGGTCAATTTGCATCAGAAATCAAATAAGCACTCACTAGCTCAACCAATGAAAGTTTACTGTGTATTATGCTTGAAATAAAGCCTTAGATCTTGACCTCCAGGGCCTGATCCAGCAGCACTCCAGATCCTTTGCCTCATCTTTCCATGCCCTATCTGGGGCTTCACATTCTAGCCCCCCCAACTTTAAAAAATTGTTTTAGTTGTAGATTTGCCTTTATTTTATTTTTATGTGGTGCTGAGGATCAAACCCAGTGCCTTCCACATGTGAGGCAAGCGTTCTACCACTGAGCTACAACTCCAGCCCAGGACTTCACATTTCTGCTAGGTACATGCTTAATATGGCATTTGAGCCCTCTCTAATTCTAATTTAGCCCTCAGCTAAACATATTTTCTACTCAGAACTTGTTCCTTCTCATGCACGGAGCTTTGCTCATGCTATTACCTCTCCTTTGCATGGAATTCCCAAAATGAAATAAGGAAAAAGAAAGTAGAGGTTGAGAAATTCAGTTAGCTGAAGTATATAAGGCAGGTTGGAAACAGCAGAAGAATCTGGAAGACAAGAGTGGAATTAGAGGGCTCAAATGCCATATTAAGCATGTGCCTAGCAGAAATGTGAAGTCCTGGGCTGGAGTTGTAGCTCAGTGGTAGAACGCTTGCCTCACATGTGGAAGGCACTGGGTTTGATCCTCAGCACCACATAAAAATAAAATAAAGGCAAATCTACAACTAAAACAATTTTTTTAAAGTTGAGGGGGGATGTGAAGTCCCTGATGTCATCATATGTACAAGTTTATATATTTCTCATAGCACCGAACCAAAACTTAAGTGGTTGGTACTTTTACCATAAAAGAAAAACAATCTGTTATCTGTAAATTCTCTGTACACTTCAGAGAGATACTAATCATGAGAATGAATACTTGAGAACTGAGTTAAGGGGGCATAATACCTACTTGCCCCACCATCCACCATTCCTGGGAATAGTTAGGACTTAAGACTGGTTTTGAGTACAGTTTCTGCCATATTACTTAACAATGGAACGATGGAAACCAATTTTCATTTTCCTCCTCCTCCTCCTCTTTCTTCTTCTTCTTCTTCTTTTTTGGTACCAGGGATTGAATACAGGGATGCTTAACCACTTGAGCCTCATCCTCAATCCTGTTTTTGGTTTTTTTTGTTTTTTTTAATTTTGAGACAGGGTCTCGCTATGTTACTTAAGGCCTTGTAAAGTTGCTGAGGCTGGCTTTGAACTTAAGATTCTCCTGCCTCAACCCCCGGAGCTGCTGGGATTACAGGCATGCACTTACCGCACCCCACCACAAAATATTTTCAAGGGCTTTCATTATTAAAGGCTAACATTAAAAAGGAGGTCCAAACTTAGCAAATTTAACTAGCCAGAATAGGCTATTTCCTTGAGCAGTATAGCAAAGCAAGATTTTATTAGATAAATTTCAAAGTTATAGGTAAAAAAGCAAAAAAAAAAAAATTTTTTTTTTTCACTGATGAGGTTTTACAATAAGTAACTACAGTGAACTGAAGTCACTTTTGCATCTGGAATCAGACACAACTAAAGCAACAAAATAAATTTACAAAATAAGGGACATTATCTTTTTTTTAATTTTTTTTAGTTGTAGATGCACTCAATACCTTTATTTATTCATTTATTTATTCAATTAATGTGGTGCTAAGAATCGAACTCAGTACCTCACATGTGCTAGGCAAGCGCTCTACTGCTGAGCCACAATCCCAGCCCCAAGGGGCATTATCTTTATAGGTTGCACCAACTTCATTCTAAATTGAGAAATCTTTAAGTAAAAAAAAGACTAAAAAACCTTTGCCACGAATCTACGAATGAATTGAAAGATGAAAAATAATAACCTATATACTTCGTATGTCTGTGTCTCTCTTTTATTTTTGGAACTGGGGATTGAACTCAGGGACACTCAACCACTGAGCCACATCCCCAGCCCTATTTTGTATGTTATTTAGAGACAGGGGCTCACTGAGTTGCTTAGTGCCTCACCATTGCTGGGACTGGCTTTGAATTCACAATCTTACTGCCTCAGCCTCCCAAAACACTGGGACTATAGGTGTGTGCTACTGCACCTGCTCATATGTCTCAGCAATTTTTTTATGTTGAACACTTCATGTATATTTTAATTCTAAAATCAATCAATGCTCACTTTTTTTCTATACAGAAGGCAAAATTGACCATAAAAGTAAACAATGTGGCTGGGCGTGGTGGCACACACCTGTAATCCCAGCGGCTCAGGAGGCTGAGGCACAAGGATCACGAGTTCAAAGCCAGCCTCAGGAATTTAGCAAGGCCCTAAGCAACTCAGCAAGACCCCACCTCTAAATAATATACAATAAAAAAATGGGATGGTGATGTGCCTCAGTGGTTAAGTGCTCCTGGGTTCAATCCCTGGTACCAAAACAATAACAATTAACAATAACAACAAAAAGTAAACAACGTGGGCTGGGTTTGTAGCTCAGTGGTTGAGCACCTGCCTCACACATATGAGGCACTGAGTTTGATCCTCAGCACCACACAAAAAAATAAATAAAGTTATTGTGGCCATCTACAACTAAAAAATGTTTTTAAAAAAAGCAAACAATGTGTATATACCTGCCCGCCCCAGCCCCTCAACAACATTGCAGCTTGGAAGTGTCAGCTGGACACCTGAGGCCTTTAGGGGCTTTTCTTCCTGCAGTTCCTGGATAAAAGTACCATAATTGTGTGCCTGTTTTTCCCAGGCTCAGCAGGCCTGTGGTAGGCCTATGAGGGGCACGAAATCTAACTCAGCAGGCTCAGCATTTCTGACAGCACCCCAGGAAAGATGGAGCAGAAAAGCTCCTTCACAATTGTTCAGAAAGAGGTCATAGAATGCTGTTAAGTTGGGCCTTGGGATTTCAGGAGTGTTCCCAGTATTTCCTAACTGATCAGTGTGGTTTAATGTGTCTAAACTAATCATAAAAACAATATGGTTCCAAAGAAACAACTGCTTTCTTTCTAGGAGCCTGGAATGATGGCAGAGCCCAGTGAAAGGTCTGGGTGCTGAATCTCCAATGAGCTTCCCAGTTAGACTGTACTACACACATGCTATCCCAATTTAATGCTGGAGAAATTAATTAAGCCTATGTGACTCCACTAGGAGAGGACCCTTGGAAGTTCATTCCTGGAGTCTTGTATTACTGCATGTACCTTTTCCCTTTTTGATTTTGCTTTGTCTCCTTTAGCTGTAATAAATCACAGCTGTGAGTACTCCCAGGGAGTCATCAAACCTGGGTGTGGTCTTAGAGACCCATAAACAAGTACAATAAATAAATATCATGTGTATGTATGGGGATAACTTCCAAATTCATGTCTCTACTGAGTTTCAGCCTATTTTGCCCATCTACCTCCCCAGCCTCACCCTTTGGACTCTCTATCAGCCATCTCAAAGTTAACATGGCCAAACCAATTTCTTTCCCTCTATCAAATATTTTCCCCAGTCTTCAGCTCAGTAAAAAGTACCTTCACCAGGGCCGGGATTGTGGACCCGAGTTCGATCCTCAGCACCACATAAAAAATAAAGGTGTTGTGTTGTGTCCACCTACACCTAAAAAATAAATATTAAAAAAAAAAGTACCTTCACCTATCCATTTATATCAAAAACCTAAAGATCATCTGGGATTTCTCTTTTCCCTAGCGACTAGCTCCCACTCAACTCTTATACATCCTGTTAGTTTTACCCCTACAGGGCTGAGGTTGTAGCTCAATGATGGAGCGCTTGCCTTGCGTATATGACGTACAGGGTTCAATACTCAGCACCACATAAATAAATAAATAAATAAAGGTATTATGTCCATCTACAACGAAAAATATAAAAATAAATTTTAAAATGTCCACCCACAAAGTAATCAATCACTCAATAGAAGCTATCTTCTCACTGCTTTAATCCAAGTTAATGTCACCATAGCCTGTACTACAGCAATAGCCTTCTAACTCAGGTCTCTGCCTCCTTGGTCTCTGTGAGCCATTTTCCACACCACACCATTTTTAAAGAAGAATTTTTTTGAAAAATGATTTAACTTAATTTCTTTTTTAAAAAATTTAATTTTTGTTCTTTCTAATTATTTATAACAGTAGAGTATAATTTGACTTATTTATACAAACATGGAACACCTCTTATTCTAATTAGGATCCCAGTCTGTGGTTGTACACAATGTAGAGATTCACTGAGGTATATTCATATATGTGCACAGGAAAGTTATATAAGAATCATTCCACTGTCTTTCTTATACCTGCCCCCCACTTCATTCTCCTTTGTCTAATCTACTGAACTTCTTCATCCCCACTTGCTGTATGTTACAACCACCTATTAGAGAGAACACTCAACCTTGGCTTATTTCACTTAGCATAATACTCTCCAAATGTCATAAACTCATTATTTTTTATGGTTGAGTAATATTCCATTGTGTATATATACCACATTTTCTTCATCCATTTATCTGTTGTAGGACACCTAGGTTGGTTCCATAGCTTAGCTATTGAGAAAGATCTTTCTTAAAATGTAGGTTTGAATATATCATTTCCCCTCTTAAAATCTTAATTGACATCCTATAGAATACAATCCTCTCCCAAGGCTTACATGACTATTACCTGTCCACCTCTCTGATGTCATTTGGGTTTCAATTCTCCCTTTACTCACTGTGTTCGAAGCACAGTGCTTTCGTTCTGTTTCTCTTGATGATTTCTATCTTGGGTTCTTTTTAATAGCTGTCCCTACTTTGCATGATTGCTTCAAATGTCATTTCCTTTCTAAACGTGGCTTTCCTTAATCACACTGCCAAAAAGAGGTCCCACTCTAGAGCACCACCTATTTGGCTCTGTTCATATTATCACTCCCTGAAAGTGTCATGTTCGTTCCATCCTCCTTGCCTGCCTTAGTCCTGCTGCTCCCCTGGTGTCTGGATCAGTATTTGGCACACAGAAGACACTCAAATGCATGTTGAATAAAAAATGGTCTGTACAATTCCAAACTGAGAAGAAAACAAAGACACTTTTGTAGATAATAAGTATATAATCTGGTTAATTAAACTGCTATTAAGTCAAATCTACCCTGGTCACAGAAAATGCATACAAAGAACATATTTTAGGCTACTGTCAGTTGAGAAGGTGCATCAGGATTGAAGTAGTGGCTGGACTTCTGTTGTAATAATGCAGTGGGGAAAAGGACCCTAAAAACACGGGCATCCTAAATAGAGACCCAAGCAGAACCTTGAAAGAACTAGAATAATGCAAAAGAAAGGAATTAGGGCTTTTACAGAGAAAGACCAGGATGAATCTGACAAGATGTTTTCACAGTGCCTCCTGCTTAGATAGGTTTTAGGTTGTTCTCGAGTAGAAAAGGAATTTTTAATCCTGGTATTACCCACTCCTCTTCTCCCATTCCTTCCTACTTAGTATAATATAAGTTTGAAGGCAGCTAAAAATTATTGATCCATTTATAAGTGTTTATTGTCTCTACAGGAGATTATTTCAGCCAATTCCCTAGACCAAACTTTTTCCCCAATGAATAAATATTAATTAACTCACTCAACAAATATCACAAAATTGCCCAAATCTTGGGACACCATTTTCATCAAGTTATACAAATGGTACTCCCTAAAGCTATGTAACCCAACAGCTTTGTGCGAGACCCTTAGGAGATCCCTGGCATAAGGCAAAGAACAACAACAGAAAAAGAACATGGTCCTTTCCTTCAGGAAACTTATAATTTAGCATATTCTAGTGAACAGGAAAAGAATGCAGATGAAGCATTGTGCTATGTACTTTTCAACAAATTATCTTACTTCAGCTTCAAAATAACCCTAACAAGATAAGTGATATTCTAACCCCTTTTAACTAATTAGGAAACTTGGGCTCAAAAGTTAAGTAATACGCCAGGCACAGTGGCGCAGGGCTATAATCCCAGTGGCTCAGAAGGCCGAGACAGGAGGATCGTTGAGTTCAAAGCCAAGCTCAGCAAAAGTGAGGTGCTAAGCAACTCAGTGAGACCCTGTATCTAAATAAAATAGGGCTGGGGATGTGGTTCAGTGATCATGTACCCCTGATTTCAATCCCCAGAACCAAAGGAAAAACAAAAGTTATGTAATACATCCACGGTCACTCAAACAGTTTTGGAGGACAGCCAGTGTCTAAGAAACTGAACTAAATCTCATCAAAAGAAGAAATTCCTGTTTCCAGTTTCAGATAGCTATCTATAATAGTCTACTCTAGAGAATCAAGTAATTGAAATTGGTAACATACTGTTACTTCAGTATCCATGTTCATCAAAAGAGCTAGCTATGCAGTTAACAAATAAAAATCTTTTTCCATCCCTAGAAAGTTAAACGTCATTTAAAAATTTTTTTAATTTTATTCCTTTAAATTTTCAAATCCTTTAAGGAATGCCAAACTTAATTTCCCATGTAAGGCCTTACACTGACACCTTAGACCCTAGAACAATTCCTGTTTGACCCACTAGTCTCTTTTTGCTCTTTCCAACTTCCTTCTGCAAAGATCTATGTTTTTATATATATATTTATTTATAAACATAATAGTCCACTGAAAACCAGTTCTCCTTTGCTCCTCTTGGGAATCCAACTTTTGCCCACAAAAGTTGTTGTTTTTAAATAAATAAAGATTATTTATAAACTCTTTAATCCAATGTATGCTGTATTAACTATAGGTGTACTCTGGCTCCAGTCCTCTCTCCCACAAAACACAACAGTTGCAGACTCAATACAATTTGGCCAGAACAAACACCTACTTTTCCATACTAATAATTACTATTTTTGATATGATAATGATTATTTTTAGTAGCAGACATTCAGACATTCAGAAGGAAGTAAACAAGAAGGCATAAGTAACTAATCTCTGCTATTGAAGATATGTTACTAAAAGACTCTTAAACTACTTAGCTTTGTTTTTTCCTTATAAGCTAATGAGACAACTCAGCAAAACCAAAAACAAACAAACAAACAAACAAAAAACAAAAAACACCATACTCAAGAAATAAATTCAATAAATGAATATATCAGGGGAAAAGATGGGCTTCTAGTACCAGGCAGAATCTCCTTAATGCATCATAATGTTTACAGGACTCAGTTCTTAGGGGCCCAGCAAAACACAAACTACAATCTGGCTTCCACAACATTCCTTGTGTAGAACAAAGCTGTCAATTTACAAAAGCTATCACAAAAGAGAATGAAAAAGTGGGAAAGGCAATGCATTTAAAAACAAACAAACAAAAACTCCGACAACATACCTGGCAACATGAGAAAAAGCATCCACAAGGACAGATTCAAATTCTCTAGTGAACTCAGGTCCTTTCCTTTTACTGTTTTGGATGACATCGTTCGCCAAGTATAGAAATGTAAGTTTTCTATTTGATTTAGCTGAAAAAAAGAGAAAAGGATAATTTAACTTACACCAAAAAAATTCTTAATTCACAATTCTTGTGCCACAAGTCTATTTCTAAGGAACATTAAGACAAGAATTATCAGTCAGCATGATGATCCTAGCTAGCTGAGATTTCGAGACCAGCCTAGGCAACTTAACAAGACCCTGTCTCAAAATTAAAAATAAGAAAAGGGGTGGGATATAGCTCAATGGCAAAGCGCCCCTGAGTTCAACTCCCAGTACCAGGAGGGGGAGTGGGGGAAGATAAACATTATCTACTCCTGGAGGTCTCTGACATAACGGGTCTGGAGGTATAATTTAGGAAGGAATGGGAGTTCAGCTTCATTTCTGTATAATTTTAACAAAGATAACGAACTGACAATAAAAATGAAGACAACTCAAAGGAAATTCTCAAAGGATAAACAGTCAATATTAACGTTAAAACCAAGTCTTTCAATTATTATACTACAAAGATAAATATTTCTAATGTACTCTTAATTTATTAAATAATCTAAAATGAAAGATAACTTTAAGTTTTAATTTTAAAATACATGCTTGTAATTTATGCTCAACTGAGAATTTCTCTTTGGTACTCCAATAACCATAGTCTGTTATCAACTCTACAAATTCACATAAATCTCTAGATGTATCAATGGCTGTTTATCTCAAACAGATATGCAAAAATGCTACATCGTCATTGAAGATTTACACACATCTGAAACCTGGGTATGCAAAATTATGGCTCCCACAAAATCCATAACTTTTCTCTGCTATATATACAAAGCGTAGTATTTTGTATTACTCTAACTGGTATCATATATTAAACCATAAAAACCTCATGCAATATGTCTGAGTTATAGTTGCTTGGGGGAACATTACTGAATTTCCTAGCTTCTATGCACATAACTTCTTAACTGTAAAGTTACATCACTACCATTTTTGGTCCCAGTTTTCTTTTAAAAGAAATAAATATAAGAACATAATTAGATAATTTAAAACACTAAGTTTATTCTCCAATGCTAAAGTGCCTCAGGAAAGCTCTGTCAACTTTTACACACCTGTATAACTAGTCCTTGCTCTACTGCTCTCAGAAACCATTTCTCTGTTTCTTTTGAAATGCACACAGCATGTATAAGTTCTGACACAGCAGGCATAAAATCTGACATTTTAAAACGTAACTACAGGAAATTAACCCAAGTTAAAAACAAGATTTTTAAAGCACACTGTAGTTTAAACTAATGCCTTAATATGCTCATAAAATTAAATATGGATATCTTGAACTGTATTAACCTTCTGGTAATAACCCAGTTTAGATGGTCAACTGATAAGAATATTGGTAACCTGCAACTATCTTTTAACTATTCTAGTTATTATTCAAAAGCAGGACCAAAATGTCAACAGTTACAATACCCACTCTTGTTACAAAGGTATGACTAGGACAAAAGGCTCTATTTTTTAAAAAAGCAAACCTTGTTCAGGGCAGTTACAGTAAATAAACTAACGAGTTCACAATGCTATTAAAGTTAGGGGATATGATGTAAAACAGATCTTCAGCAAAGCAAATTTGACTAATTTACAAAGTCCCTATACTTTATGTTTAAAAAATGTTAGAATCCATATTGTAAAATATCATTTGAACACTCAAGGTCTAACTTATTTTTCAGTATTACAAATATGATATCCAAGATGTTCAAGAGCCAAGATTTTCGCTATGCCAATTACTCTTCATCACCTCCAAACTTAACAATGGCGACTTACTTAGGATAAAACTGTAGACATCCACATTCAGCATCCTGAATAGTCAACATGAGCACCCTATGTGTAAAGGGGCTACAGAATGAACTCTAGAGCACTAAAACACATGTAGTCAATAATACATGCAACACACACACCCCTCTACCCCAACCCTGGTTGATAACTCAACTTCAGATATATATTTCTAATATGACAAATTAGAACTTTTCACCAAAAAGTTATGCTCATCCAAAACTGGTAAAACTAGTTTCTAAACAAAGTTTAAACAAATGACTAATCAAAACTTTTTGCTTGTTTGGCTGGTTTTGATGTCTAAAGAAAGTCTTAAGTAATTCGGGGAAAAAGGCCTATTTACCTATATTCAGGCATGATAAAAAAAAAAATAAAAAAAAAAAAACCACTATTAAAAATTATTCATCCTTGGGGTGGGGATGTGGCTCAAGCGGTAGTGCGCTCGCCTGGCATGCATGCAGCCTGGGTTTGATCCTCAGCACCACATACAAAGATGTTGTGTCTGCCGAAAAACTAAAAAAATAAATATTAAAATTCTCTCTCTAAAAAAAAAAAATTCATCCAAAAAGACTGTACATCAAACTATTCCATAAAGAAGAGGAGAAGTATATGGGCATGGTGGCACTATAATCCCAGCAGCTCAGGAGGCTGAGGCAGGAGGATCAGGAGTTCAAAGCCAGCCTCAACAATGGTGAGGTACTAAGCAACTCCCCTGTCTCTAAATAAAATACAAAAAAGGGCTCCGGATGTGGCTCAATGGTTGAGTGCCCCTTGAGTTCAATCCCCGTGCTCAAAAAAAAAAAAAAGAGAGAAGGTGATTAGTTCTACTTGGAACAGAGCCTAAGGGGATGAATTAAGAATAATTCCTGTTGGGAACCGAGGCACATGTCTATAATCTTAGTGACTTGGGAGGCTGAGGCAAAAGGACCAAGGCCAGCCTCAACAACTTAGTAAGACCCTGTCACAAAATAAAAAATAAAAAGGGCTGAGGATGTAGCTCAGTGAGAAAATACCTCTAGATTCAGCCCCCACTATCAAAAAAAAAAAAAAATCCTTAAAAAAATGGAAAAAAAAAAGTAACACACTAGGAATAGAAGTAGTATTTAAGGGAGAAAAAGTAATTTTTGTAAATCTCATAAATTTTTTGATGGCAACTCAGACAGTCTGTGAACAAACACCTCAGGGAAGATGACTTCACCATAGATATAGATATCCACTTTTAAAGATTCAAGGTGGGCTAGAACCTATGGGGCTAGTTAATTTAAATGTAAGGGCACAGAATCCTTTTCCATTTTAGTGTGGGGGCATTTTCAAATCATGAAAGAAGCATGGGTATTAGAGAAGAAAGCATCTCAATAAAGAATAGCTCTGCAGTGTCCAATATGGTAGCCACTAATCACAAATGGCTACTGAACACTCAACTTGTAGCTAGCTTGGGAAATAAATTTTCAATTGTATTTATTTAAAACTTTAGTTTCTTAGTCACACATTTTAAATGCTCAATAGCCACATGTGGCAAGTGCTACCTTGTTGGAAAGCACAAATAACACACTGCTACTGTCACAGAAAACCCTATTAGTGCTATTTAGATACTTTACTAAAACACAAAAATGGTATCCAGACCACGATTTAACTCCTAAGCTTTTTTTTTTTTTCTAGTTGTAGATGGCCACAATAACTTTATTTATTTTTTATGTGATGCTGAGGAGCAAAGCCAGTGCCTCACATGTGCCAGGCAAGCACTCTACCACTAAGCCATAGCCACAGCCCTCGTAAACTATGTTTTAACAGTCTAATAGGCCCTTTGCTAAATGCTGATGCATGACAGAAAAACCAGGTCAAATTTCTTACTCAAAACAACCTAGTGAAAAAGGCATAACCAAAAAAGAATGAGATAAATGCTAATTAATGTAATTAATTCTACTAAACAAAAACATGATAGGTTTGATCAGAATCAGATGACCATTTTCATGCATTAAGTAGACTGAGACACTGGGTACAGTCAAGTTTTGACATCAGTGAGCCCTGGGCTCATATCCCAGCTATATGCCCCTGAATAAGCTACTCAGTCTCTATGCTATCTTCTTATCTATAAAATGGGGGTAATGCTGGCCTACCTACAACATAAGGCTCTATCATTTGACATTAGGGATAATGGAGCTTCTTCAATGAACACACTCTCCAAATTGTAACTTTTCAATAACTCAAAGAGGGTAGGTGAGGAATCAAGAAGGCTTCATGAGAGAAGTGCCATCTTAGACGGACTCTGACAATTTTAAGATGATCAAAGAGAGTGTTTTGAATGCTACAGCGGAGTACATGAAGCAGACTCTGGGAGCCCTTGGCTCTACCTCCCTACTACCTACAGTAGAGAGGATCTACATCATATCACAATTGGGGAACTGGGTCTCCTGAAAGAATCCTAGAATTTGGGGTCTGAGCCTCACCAGTTCAGAAGACTTGAAAATACCACTTAGTCACTTCATTTTTACTATCTGGAAAACAGATAGTAACGAACACTTCCTATACTACAAAGGGTCCACTGCATTATAGGGTGTCCAGAATATTCATTTCTTCTATTGTTACGAAATTCATCAGGGTATCAAACAGCAGTGAAGGTGCCCATCTTTCCCCACCAGACTTCAAGCAACTTGAAGGCAAAGACCATGCCTTGCCTATGTGGTGGCGCCCAGAGGCTGAGATAGGAGGATCGCAAATTCAAAGCCAGCCTCAGCAACCGCGAGGCACTAAACAACTCAATGAGAACTTGTCTCTAGATAAAATACAAAAAATAGGGCTAGGGATGTGGCTCAGTGATCGAGTACCCCTGAGTTCAATCCTTGATACAAAAATAAATAAGTAAATAGAAGACACCATGCCTCACGCTGAGTAATCCATAGTCCATATCACCATGATTTACTGAATGCTACACTGTGCCTGACATTATGCTAAATATTCATTTGGATAATCCTGTTTACTTCTCACTACAATTTGCTTATCTGAGCCTAAGGTTTTCCCTCATCTAAAAGCTCCTACTTCATAAGGCCCTAAGAGTTTTTTTAAAATGACAATGTATGTAAAGATATGAGCACTGCACCTGGCACATGATAAAGACACAGTACTATCAGTTATCACTACCTTCATGTTGCAGATAAGTTAACTAAGGGGCAGCCAGGTTAAGTTGCTGTGTTCAGTAAGTGGCAAAGTCAGGCTTAACTTCAAGGCAGTTGGCAGAGGCAACCTGCTGTAAATATAATGTTCAAAACGGTGCCTGGCACATAACTGGCTGAGCCCAATGAATGTCAGTTCCTGAATGGGACCTGAAATCAATGGCAGGTGAATGGGGTTACCCCATTCACAAGGCGGTTCAGAGGACTGAGTGTGAGGGTGTAAGTAGAGTGGCTGGCATGGAATAAAGCCTTTGTAAGTGGCAGCTCTCCTTGCTGTTTTACAGATGAGAAAAGAGAAGCACTGGGAGATGAAGAAAATCGCTCAGTACCACTCAGTTACTAAGTGGCTGTGCAGGACTCGGTCTATGCAGTGTGACTCCACTGGCTCTAACTCCAAGTACCCAGCACAGAACCGGGCACACAGCAGGATGGGCCGGTTCGGGTGCCCAGTGCCGTGCCGCCAAGAGAATAATAGTCACAAGTGTCAGGAGCAGCCTGAGGGGAAATCTGAGCGCCTGAGCCCTGGTCCCAGGTCCCTCAGACAAGTACCTTACACCTTCCTAGGCCTCGGTTTCCTTCTCCTAGAAATGGGGGTAACATTGTCTCCAATCTCAGACGCGCGAGCAGAGACTCAGCCTGAAAAGCAAGGATCGATTGAGAAGCTAAGGGTCTGCGGAGCGGGCGGACGGAGGGCCACCCACCGCCGGCCCGGGGTGGGAGGAGGCGTCTACCTTTGCGGAGCTCGCGGTGCCACACGGAGACGATGGGTCCTGCGTGCTTGCGGTGGTGGATGAGCCACAGGGACAGGGTCTGCACGCTCTGCTGGGAGTTGCTCAGCTCCGAGAGCTTCTTCTCCAGCGCCGACTCCGAGAAGGAGGACATAGTGGCGGCGGTGAGGCCCGGCAAGGAGCGGCCTGGGCCGCCCAGTGCGACGGGACTAGCGTACGATTGGGGCCTCACTGGACAGACTGCGGGACGTTTTTGCCGACTGCCAGGGGCGCAAGGCGGGGGAGGGGATGGGCCTCCGCTGTAACAGCCGCCCGCGCCGCCACCACAAGATGGCCACCCGACCTCTCACCCCCGCCGCGAGAGCGGGGTCAAAGGGCAAGGGCCGGTGTAGCCGAGCACCGAAAAGCGCCGGAGCTGTCGAAAAACGTTCCTTTGGAAGCGGCGGCCTCTCTGAGCCTTGTTCAGGCCACTTCGAAGGAGCCAGACCGCGGGAAAGAAGGCAGTTCCCCGAGCCCCCGGAAAGCGCTTTGAGCGCTCCTGCCCGTACGCCGGCGCAGTGAGTCTCACCGGAGCCCTTTCTCCCGCTCCTCAGAACCTTTCTGGCGCGGTTCGGCGCGCTACTTAGCGCGTCATTTCCGGCGGGGCTCTAGAGGCGGGAGAGTCAGGGAAAGACTGGAAGACGAGGTAAGGGAAGGGTGGCGGGAACTAGAGGGAGCCCAGCAGAAGGAAGCCCTTGGAAGGGAATCGTGAGAGGACTATGAGGCCGAGAGGTCGTGACCTGGGTGTGGGAAGGGGGCTTCTTTCTCACTTGGCAGGCCCCGGGCCTCACCTCCGTACGTGTCCAGCTCTCAGGCCGCCCCCCAGAAAGCTGCTGTTTGGGTCTTCCAGGACACCCACGTGCCTCCACGCCTTGGCTGTTTCTCACCTGGCGAGCCCCCACTCAGTTTCCAGATGACCCCTTAATGTCCAGTCCTGACATTCGGTCTGTGACCGCACTGCCCCATCAAACACCCTCTGGGCCCTCTGCCCTTAACTGGTTTCTTCATTGGGGAGTTACGTGCACCCTCCCCCCCCTTGCCCTCCCAGGGCGTCCATTGACCTCGCTGGGGACACAGTATTGGAGATTTTAAATCCTTACCGTGTGTATATATATTGACGTATTACATTCCGGTTATCAGATCAGAGAATTTTTTTTCCCCTAACTACTAGGATAGTAGAAGGTTTTCGTAGACAGCAGAATTTTAAAATTTCCTAATCATCATTGAATTTCCGAGTTGGGGGCTGGTCCCAATTTAGGAAATATTGTTCTAGTTGGTATCTGTTTTTGTGCTTTCTTAGGTATTGTTGTTTTCGGCTTATATGCTTTTATCCCTTCTTCAGACCAGAATCATACTCAGAGCTAAGATCCAGAGGTTGCTGTGTGCTAGACACTGTTTTCACACAGTAACTCATTTAATCCTAACAACAAAGCTATGAAACAGGTATTATATTCTCTCCCGTATAAAAAATGAGGCTCAGAGACGTCATGCCTACCCAAGATCCTGTAACTAAGATTTGAGGGAACAGACTCCATCTTAGCCATCATTTTAACTCTAGCACTTGAGTCATACTTGAGTTAATATAAGAGGTGAATAACCTAAAATCACAGTCAATATGTAGTCATCATCAAGTACAGCTTTTGAGTTCATATGTAGACTTCCTTCAATATTAAATAACATTGTCACATACTACATGCTTCTAAACCAAATTATGTGTATTCAGTGCATTACATAAGTTCTTCTACTTAGCCCCTACAACAGTCCTGTGGGGTGGAATTATTATCACTATGTGACATATGAGAAAGCATAAAACATGGATAAGTAACCTAGCCAAGGTTATTTGGGCACAGCTAGGAAATGGCAAAGCCCAGAGTCAATCAAGGTTATCTGATGTCTGATCCCAAATTCTTCACTCTTGAGCCAGTGGTTCATTCAACAGATAATTTTTGAGCACCTAAGTCTGAAGCACTCTTGTAGGCAGGCAAAATACCCATATCTTTAGAAGCTTGCTTTCTACTGGGGAAGATCGAAAAATAATATATGAGTCAGGAAATGATAAGGGCATTGAATAAAATGGAGGGTAAAGGAGATAAAGAATGTATATGTGTGGGAAGACAGGAGTCTATTGTATATGCTTGTAAGAAGGGGCCTCACTGATCAGATCCTGAAAGAAATAAGAGAACAAGCCAAAAGCTATCCTTCCAAGCAAAGGAAGACTAATTGTTAGGTTGTTTGTTTGTTTGTGTTTTTTTTGTTGTTGTTGTTATTTTGCTTTTTGTTTTTTTGAGGAACAGAAAGGATAGTAAGACTGGAATCAGAAGAGTTGTTAGAAATGAGCCCAGAAAAGTAAACCACACGTGACAGGGTCACTTGTATAAAGGACTTACATGTTACTCTGAATGAAAGGTGAATCTACTGGACAGTTTGGAACAAAGGGGGAGCATTGTATCTGTTAGGTAGAAAATAGTCATGGTACAAGAGAGGCAGGAACATTAGTTTGTCAACAGTTGTAATAACCCAGGTAAAAGGATGACTCAAGCCACATAGAAGTGGTGAGAAAGGGACAGATTCTGGGAATATTTTAGGGAAGACATAACAGGATTTGCCGGATATGGGGTGCAGTGGGAGACGAGAGTTTAATAAATCACCTACGGGTGTTAGCCTGAGCAACCACAAGCATGGAGCTCCCAGTTACTGAGTTGCATAAAGAGCAGGTTTGGGGAGTAAAAGCAAGAGTTTGGATTTGGACATATCCAGCTGGAAATTTATCCAAGTACAATATCTCAGTATTTTCAGGGCATTGATTCTAGGACACCCCCACCCACTGGCAGGTACCAAACTCCTCTGATAACAAATCTCATATAAAATGGCACAGTATTTGCATATATCCTTACACATGTCCTCTTGTATAGTTTAAATCATCTCTGGGTAATTTAGAGTACTTAATACAATATAAATGCTATGTAAATAGTTATTTGTATTATTTAGGAATAATGATGGGAAAAGTCTACATGTTTGGGGTTTTGTTTCCTTTATATGCTTTTGATCTATGGTTGAATCCATGGATGTGGGACCCATGGATACAGAGAGTCAATTGTATACATAGGGGCCTAAGAAGCAATTGTGTTTATGATTCTGGTGTGCAAGGGAGAGCTCTGGGGTAGAGAGAAAAATATGGATGTCATAAGGAGAAATAAGTTCAGAAAAAACTTGAGTCCTAGGACACATCAACATTAAGAAGTCTGGAAAATGAAGATGGTATGATTATGTAACTTTTCTTCTTAAGCCTTTTAATATTGATTATACTGGTTGATTTTCAGATTTTGAGCCAGTCTTGCATCCCAAAATCCTTACACACCTCACTTTGTCTTAGTGTATAATTCTTTTTATTTATACTTCTGAATTCTATTTCTTGGTAATTTGTTTAGGATTTTTGCATCCGTATTCATGAGGAAAATTGATCTGTAGTTTAAAAAGTTTTGTATTGTCTTTGATTTTGGTACTATAATAGTTATAGCTTCATAAAAGGATTTGAAAAGTGTTTATTCCTCTTCTTTTTCTAAAAGAGATTGTGTAGAATTTGTGCTAATTCTTCTTTAAATGTTTGGTAGAATTTGCCAATGAAACCGTCTGGCCTGGAGATTCATTTTCATATTCATTCTTTTTCTCCTGCCACCTCTGTCACGTGGAGTTTTAAATGACAAATTCATGTGTAGATTTTGGTAGTTTGTGTTTTAGCCATTTTGTTTTTACAAAATAGATACGGCTTGAATATGGTCTGAATGTTCCTCAAGGTTGCATGTGAAATTTAATTCCTCTCTGAGGCATTAGGAAGGTAGACAATCCGACTGTGAAATTTAGAGGTGAGGCCTTTGAGAAATGATTAGGATTATTTAAGGTCATTAGAAAGGTGACCCATAATTGAAATGGCTTCATAAAATGAGGATAAGAGCACACACAAATATACACTCCCTGCCTCTTGCCCTGTGCCACCTCAAGAACTCTGCCAGCAAGAAGGCTGTCACTTGATGCAACTCCTAGACCTTGCACCTTCCAGAACTATGAGCCAAAATAAACCTTTTTTTTTTTTTAAGTAGCTTGCTCAGGTATTAAAGTCACAAAAAGCAGACTAATACAATCTAAGTTGTCAAATATATGTTTAAAGTTATTGATGGGCCTGCAGTGGTTCCATACACCTATAATCCCAGCAGCTTAGAAGGCTGAAGCAGGAGAATTGTGATTTCAAAGCCAGCCTTAGCAACTTAGCAAGACCCTAAGCAAGACAGTGAGACTCTGTCTCTAAATAAAATACAAAATAGAGCTGGGGATGTGGCTCAGTGGTTGAGTGCCTCTGAGTTCAATCCCCTGTACCAAAAAAATAAAAAGTTATTGGTGGTATTCTGTATTGAAAATTTTTAACTGATATTAGTTAAATGTTTAACTGATATTAGTAATTTATGATATTCCTATTTCTCCCTCTCTAACTCATTCCCCTCTCCACCAAATTTTTTAAGTATTTTTTTTAGTTATTGATAGACCTTTATGTTATTTATGCACAGTGCTGAGACTCAAACCCAGTGCCTCACACATGTATGTATGCTACCACTGAGCCACAGCCCCAGCCCCTCTGTACCAATCTTACTAGAAGTTTGTCTATTTTACTGATGTTTTCAAAGAACCAGGTTTTTATTTCATTGATGTTCTTTATTTTTTGTTTTTAATGTCATTAATTTTTTGATCTGATCTTTATTATTCCCTCCCTTCTATTTGCTTTAGGTTTATTTTTCTCTTTTTCTAGGTTCTTGAGAGGTGAAAGTTTGGATTTTAGTTTTGAGACCTTTTTCTTTTTCTAATATATGACTTAATACTGTAAATTTATCTCTCAGCTTGGCTGTATCTCTTTGCATAGATTTTGATAAAATGTTATATTTTCATTTTCATTCATTTCTATGTATTTTTGGTTGTTTCCCTTAAACTTCCTTTTTGTTCCATAGATTATTTAGTTTCGAGATGTTAGGAGATTTTCCTGTTATCTCTCTGTTAGTAATGCCAACCTTGATTCCTTTGAAGTTGGAGAACATTCTATATATATATATATTTTTTTTAATTTGTTGAGGTTTGTTTTATGGCTGAGCATATGGTCTATCTTTGTACATGTTCAACGTGCACTTGAATGTATGTTAGGCTCTTGTGGCATAGGGCTATTTCACACATTTTGTGGCTGTTGTTTTATGTTTAACCATTTAGTCTTACTATGTTTCTTACCAGATTTACCCTTTAACCACTGTCTTTTAACTCCTTTCTGTCTCTAGTAACTTGCCTTTACCAGCTCTAGTCAAGTATAAAGACCTTTCCTTTGTATCTCTTTTCCCTCCACTTATAATTAATTTTAAAATCTCATGCTTACATATTTAGAACTACATCAGACATCGTTATAATTTTTTATTTAACTGTTAAA